AGCCCTAATCATTCTATGATTCTATGATCTCTCCTCCCTGGGATCCAGTGACAGGATGCATGGGAATGGTTCATAGCTGCACCAGGGGAGGTTTAGACTGGACATTAGGAGGCATTTCTTTACCAAGAGGGTGGTCAAACACTGGAATAGACTTCCTAGAGAAGTGGTCGATGCCCCAAGCCTGTCAGTGTCTAAGAGGCATTTGGACAATGCCCTTAATACCATGCTTTAACTTTTGCTCAGCCCTGAAGTGGTCAGGCAGTTGGACTAGATGATAGTTTTAGATCCTTCCCCAACTGAAATATTCTATTCTAGTCTTAAAATTTCTAACAATTTTAGGAAATCTTTCTTCAGCAATCTCTTTTATTGCTAGGAAGCTTTTTTCCTAATGTGAAACCTAAATCTCCTTTGCAGCAATTGAAAGACAAAAATAATGTCTGTTGCCTTTTTTGCTCACAACTATCATTTACAAATTCCAAGTAGGAAATGCTGCCTCATTTTTCATGATCCCAAACGTATTTGGGGAGGAGTGGGAGAGGGAAAGGGAACAATGCTTTTTCCCTAGGGCCTGCTTTTAAAAAGTGCTCTAAAATTCTCTTTCATGAGAAATTCATACCCAAAAGCATTATGAGATGTTAGTAGAAAACAGTACAGCTATTTTCTTGAAAGCATACTTCTAAATTCCCATCTGATAAATACTTGAAGACATAAACATAGAAGATATAAGAAATTAAGGTATTTGACACTTCCAGAAATAACAAATTAAAGCCCTGAAATAATCCACTAGAAAATATAAACAATGTTGAACAGAAATGTTAAAAGAAAACATAATCTGCTTAAATCATTTGCAAGTCATTATCTTTGCTTTACTCCTGCAAGCAAACAAGTTTTATCCGATTGCTTTTCTGCTGAAAAATGTTAAGACTTTCTGTGCCACCAGGAAAAGGTACACTGTTAAGACACATGCAGCTGCGCAGCAGGCAATGGAAAGTCTTCCAGCTACTTCCACTTCAAGCTCTTCACTAACAATAAAAACAAATCTGGCTCCAACATCCATGCTTGTCACAAGGACAGGCCGGTGCCAACACTGAAGATACCAGCCATACACTGCTATAGTATAGTCTGCAAGAATAACAGGCACGGTAACTCCAACAACTGAAAACCCCACAAAGTACTTGTTTCTTCCTTTGAGTTAGTGAGTCACGTTCTAACAATGAGTTAGTTGGCACTCAGCATCAGTGTTCAGCAGCCACATGAATGTGCCAAACAGCTAAAAAAAGCCTATTTTAATACTGTTTTTGTTAAAAGAAAGAGCTGCAGGGCAATGCTTAAGACTCAAAATACATCACTGGTTATACTACAGTAATATGGAGAATAAGAAAACACAGAATGATTAAAAAGCAATTAAAAATGGAAAAATACTTCAGTACCAATATTTTAAACGCTACACATATTTACTAGATGCTATCTTTTCTTGTCTTTTTCAAAAAGTAGATTAATTTAATGAAGGAAAACTAAAGCTGATTTTCATAAACATCTAAACAAGTCATTCAGTTTATAACTACTACTAAACTACACCTCTCCTGAATTACCTTCTTCATTTTGAATATTATTTTCAGATAATGTGATGTCAGTTTCCTGTGTCCTTTCAGAGAGGCCTGTTTCCTCAGTCCTTTCAGAGCGGTCTCTGCCCACATTAGGACCTTTGGTTAAGTTCATCTTGATCTTCTCAATAGCTCTTTGACACAGTTTATCTTTCACTTTCTGGAAAAGAGACATTTAATTTAAATGCTATTTAATTTTACAATTATTTCTTTTATCCATTAAATCTACCCACTAACAGGATGATTTAAATATGAAGGATACAATGTGCTACATGAAGATGATCAGTCAAGTTGAAAGGAGAAACACTTTCTCCATCAACACCAGGCACTGAAACTCCAAAATACTATTTCCCCCCCCCCCATTTTTTTTAAAAAACATTAAGGCAACTGGACCTTTCCAGCTGAGTCATGGAGCATAGCTACCTCTGGATGACACACCCATGGTGATCAGCATTGTTTTCAACATTTCTATATACCACTGTCTTCCTCTGTCACACGCCCAAATTTTACTTTATTTTTTCCATACTAATAAAAGCATCAATCTAAAAACTTTCACATCATTATTGCAATCCCTTCCCACTTCATCTTAAATAAAGCACTCTTTTCTTGTTGCCTAATGATCTTACAGTTACATCTTAAGTTTAGGCATAAAATTTCAGCTGTTAATAATTAACTAAGACGAACCATCCAAACTGTAAGAGACTCAATATTGAATTTTATTTTAGCGTAAGAAAAAACAACTATACCACAGTTATTAAAAGAATCTAGTAAAACAAAGGTGAAACAGTATGCCCAACTTGATACATTTCAGTATACTCTCTATGGTAGCTGAAATATGTAAATTATATAGTGATATCAGCTCAGATTTTTGTAAGTGACTCATCAAAAATTAATTTTCAAAGACTGGTTAAAAGAGAAATTCCAGTCACATTGTCATAGTTCAACAAAAGGCACTTCATTTTTAAACATATCAGAATATTAGATTGCTAATGATTAAAAAAGTAAGAATCATGTTATTTATGCACTACCTCTAAAATCTCATCGAGCAGAACCAGAAGATTCTCTGTGGAAGAGGAACTGAGCTCTAGTGCATTTAAAGCTTTTGCATAAATACGAACATCTGGTGCAGTTGGGTCCATCAAGATTTCATTGCAAATTTTCATGGCTAAACTATCATGCACTGTTAAGTCCTGTAAAGGAATGAAATTTACAAGAGAGCAATGAGATCATCCTGATTTAGGGTTACCATTTTCCTAAAATGCAGTATTTTTGAGTACAAACACCAACTGATTTTTATACGTACTTTTCCTAATATAAACAATTAGCCATGGCACAAACTCCTACTAGCATTTTTTTTTTTAACAGTAACGAGGAAATCTGGGAGGTGGGGGGGGGGTGCCGCCATAGGGCAGAGGGGAGGTTAAGCTAAAAGATTTCCTTACCTCAACATTGTTTTCTTCCAGTTTAACACACTGTACCTGATAGTCCTGAGAATTTTTAGACTGAGGTTTCAGTGCACTTGGTCTGGTCAGGTCCACTAACAGTTCAGAAACATTACTAATATCTATTTCAGCCAAGGGCGAAGTTGCAGGAGCATTTAACAGTGTTTGCAGAGTTGGAAGATAAGCTTCTTCGAAGCATTCCTGGTTAGACCTGTTTCAAATGAGCATTAGTAGCATAATGATACAAAATGAAACCTTAACTAATCCCTAAATTTTCTCTCCTATGATGAAAGTTCACAGACCCATTACAATCAAAGCAAAGTGGGAGCAGCCAACCTTGACAGAGGCAGCCAGCAGAATCAAGGTAGTATAACTGTTTCATAGAATGAATTTAAGTTTTAGCACATGGTATTTCAAAAGTAAGTCTTAAGTAACGCTTCCTGCCTCTGAACAGTTTGAAAGTTCATCCTTACTATTGAAAACCTGATATATAAGACATATTCTCTCTTAAGGGACATTTCTCTAAGGCTTTTATTTAGATTAATGTCTTCTGCTCATTCCTCCTTCCTGGTAGCATTTTTCTTTGGGGATACTTTTCATTGTGTAAGAAAGCAAGGAAGCCTGGCAAAAAAATGCCGTGGTTAACAAGATTTTTGGAAGAAATACTTGTCCTTTCTTTTCTCAGAAGAGTTAATAACTACTGCCAAGCAAGCCTAAAACTCATGTTGCACTTGGTTCTGCAGCAAGTTGCCTAAAAGTGTAGTTCCACAAGACAAGTCAAAACGATTTAAAGGGTAAGGTGTTGAAAAGTACAAGGTTGTAGTTGGTGAAGTAAAGCCTTTTTTGTTTCTTATACTTCTTAACCTCCTATATGAACCCAAATAACTACAGGACAAAATTAAGAAAGTAAATAATTTCAAAAAAGCAGAATGTTTGCTGCTGGATTATTGAGCCAAATCAGCTGACCAAAAGACTTTTTGAGCACTAAAACTGGGGCAAGAAAGAATGGAAGCAAGAGCTTTCCCTTTCAGCAGCTTCAAGGCTTTAGATTGGCTCAAGCATAACTGAAGTATCATTCAGATTATTTCCTGTAAATAAATAGGAAAAAAAGTCTAGTAGCATATAGGCACAAGGCAGAACTTTCTCCTCTTAGGCTGCCAGAGAGTTTACTGTTCTTTAGAAAACACGCCATGAGTAAGAATTGTTCCCTGGTTACAGGATCCTGTCCCTGTTATTAGCATGTCATGCCACTATTGACATGATGGAATCTTTATTGAAGTTAGCATCAATGGCTTTTTTCCACACAGAGTTCAAATATGTAATTTCAAAAAGTGAGCCTCTTGATTATATTGTGACCAGATGGAGAGGTTAACAGAGCAGCACCCAGAAAACAAATGGGATTTCAAAATATCATGAGAGATCAGTACAAAAGTTAGGTATAAACCTCAGCCAAATTTCATTCATTACCTGAATTTTCCTTTTCTGAATGACAACTTTGCAGACAGTTATGAACTATGCATGGTAATTAATAATTCTCTTCTGAAAATACAGTATTGGTAACCAAAGACACACCATGATTCATCTTGAAATTAACCGTTTGTGATCCAGAATGCAGATAATGTTTTGAGACTGAAAATTAATGAGGTTTCCTAACTAAACAGAGATTCCAAATTAATCAGACAGATTCAGGACTTTTTTTCCTCCATTGATTTTTCTGATTTTTGCTTAAAGCATACGCCATGTTTTTCTTTTCAAGAAAAATATCCTCTATGAGATGCCAGAAGGAGTTGCTTTATTTGCAAATTACTTTGAAATACACAGAATTACTCAGGTGGGCAATCATTAAGACTCACAATACATAAATAAATAAATAGATAAATAGAGAGATTCACAGGGTCAGAAGATGACATTCACAGGTAAAATGTTATCAATCTTAAAAGCCTAATTCATTACTTAATATCAGAGATACTGGCAGCATATTAAATTAGTTTTTCTGTTACTTATTTTCAGAAGAATTTAAGTAAGGAAAATCCCACTCTGGAGGAGAATGGGTATTTTTCCCCTTTTTTTTTCTCCTGACAATAGCAAAAATACATTTGTTGAGTGTTTTTTCCTCTCCAAACCAACTCCCCTTTGAACTACTCCTCTTAATGTGGCAATTTATAGGCCACGAAAAAATTAATTCAACTTGGTTTGGAAAAATAGATAAGGTAATATATAATACGTCTAAGTTAAATCTTAACCATTAAAAAAAAATATATTCAGCTAGTTCAGACTGGCTAAAACCACTCGCAGCAACTGAAGAGTTAAACATTTTTTTCTTTGAGCAAGTGAAAGGAGATGAGAATTACCATTTAACCCCCTATCCCCTTACATAAGCTCTCCACCTCCTTTCTCCACTACCAAAATAAACAGGAGATGTTGAATCTGCTATGAATTTAGACTGGAGTATTCTTTGGTTAAAAAAAAAAAAACCACACAAAAACAAACATCCAGAACAAAACCAAAACCTAAACCATGACCAACCAGCCTGCTGCTTTGATACCTGCTGGGCACCGATTCTGTTCTTTTGAAGCATTTCTACTAGCTACTTTCTACCAATGCGTCAAAGTCTACCTACAGTGCTCAACAGCATAAATAAGTAAAGCACATCTTTGTAAATTAACCTTTTATTCAGTATCTTGAAGAACAGTTTCAATTAAAGGCTTAGGAAAGAAAAAAGTGGAAGGCCACAGGGGTAAGAGGAAAATAATGGATCATAGGTTGAGATTATGTACATTGCAAAGTAACATGCATAGGAGGCTGAACTAGACATTTAGGTCTAATTTGCATTTGTGCAATTTCTACTTAAGCAAGATGTAAAAAGGTTCCTAGAGCTGCTAGACCAATGTGTATTTTCACATAATAATTTACAAAGGTCATACCTATTTGCATAAGCAAATAAAGGGAAGAAGACTCCTAGGCAGTGTCTAAGCCGAGTGTCCTCTTCAGTCACAGGATTATACCACAACAAAATAAGACGAGAAAGAAGCTTGGCACTAATCAGCCTCCCAGAGAACATCAGTTTGGCTATGCCTTCTGCAGCTTCTGTCCTAAGTTCTGAAAACTGAAGAAAGAACTGATGATACACACGACACATCAACCACAGTGTTTTTCACTAATGCTTTATAACAATAGTGTACAGCCTATTTTGCTGATCAATCCTCTACACTGACATATTTGTGCCTGCACAGAAGGCAAAGCCAGCTCAAGAGTAACATTAGTCTGTATCAATGACAAAGTTGTGGTTATTTTCTAGGACTACTACTTTAACATTAGACCATTCATTTCAATTACACATCATGTAATATTCACATGCAACCTAATGGGATGGTAAACCTTCTGCAAAAATCATTTTTAAACAAAACAAAGGCAAATTTTATAGTAATTCTTACCTCACTGTCTAAGAAACCAGAAAGAAGCTGCAGGAGGCTGTGAACTGTAGCAGCCTCCTCTTCCTCCTCAATGGTTTCACTTTCTTCCTCACAATTTTCAGTTCTACTGTGTGCATCTTCTCTTTGAGAGTCATTGCCTCTTCTGGCTTTAAATGGCTCAATCCCAAACAGCATTAGCTGATCAAAGATTCCCTTTAAAGCACTGAGCTTTACCTTTATATTATCTATTTGCAAAACCTAGGTTTAATAAGGAAAATACATACATCATCTTACAGTAGACCACCAACGTTAACATTAAGCATTACAAGAATTTTTGCTTTAATAGGATTGTTTAATTTGGGAAACTTTTTATAATACTTGGGACAAATTTCAGACTTCAGGAAGGCATGATACAAGTGTAAACCTGTATTTATAATACAGTCTGGGAAGTAATTTATCAAGTTATCTATTCAATTTCCATTACATAACATCAATGGAATTTCACTCACGGAGTAAGCATGCATGTACGAGATGTAATTTTGTTGTTCAGCTTCTAAACAGACATTGGACAAACAGAAAAAGTCTATTTGCCTCTATAGTCTTAGGCACTACATTAAAAATACGTAAGACAATCCCTGCTCTGAAATACCGTACAACTTAATTAAAACTAACAGTATGTAAAAAGACAGCAGGGAACAAGATAGTAATAAAAGTCAGAGTTGCATAGGTTATTACACATACTATAGTTCAAATTAACATTTAAATAAAATCATATATGATGGTCTAGCCTAGAGATCCTAGATCTGTTTAGTCCAACATCCTGCTTTTGATGGCATCCTACACAAAGAATATGGGGTTTAGTACCTACAGAAATTAATTAATTACTTAAGTCTAAAGTCTAAGTTGCTAAAACAACTGAAGTCCTCCCTAAACAAATGAATTTAATTTTAATGAGACATGCTCAAAGGTAAATTAAAAACAATAGTATATGCTCACATTTTAGCAACCCCAAAGTTCTCCTAGTATGGGTGACTGACAGGTCTATCATCTTGTCTGAGCCGAGCATATCATCTCAATATCTGCCGTCAGTTCTCTTGAGCATGTACATGAACACACTCTTAATAAAGCATGATGGTCACATACACTTCTCTCAAAGCCAGGGTCTGAAAAGTTAATAGTGGGTTTTTTTTTATATAATTAGCTCAGCATCAGAACATTTACCACAAAGGTGAGAAATGTGGGTGTTATGGCATCCAGCACATTCCATATCCATAGATGTTTGGCCATGCTATCGTTTGTTGAGTATTGCTTTATCCTCTAATTAACAACTCTTCCTTAATTTAGAAATTAAATTGGATACCCAAGATCACACATAAGCATGTAACAGAAATATAAAAAACATCAGTCACGTTTTTAGTTTGGTTTCCCAATGAAGAAAGGCTTACAGAATCCTATAGCTTGTCTTTTCTGTGTTGCAATAACTTAAATACGTGACTGATTTCACCCAGATTCGGAAGAGAAAGTGAGATCTCACAGATGAAGAATTCCTACAAGCCTTCAAGACAACCGGTGACCTTACAAAAGAAAGGCATGCTACTACCACGATACAATATAAACTTGAATATTATTAGACATCAGAAAAATCTACCTGAAACTACACTCTCCAGATCTTTAGGAAATAAGGAATCACTGGGTCTCAAATAACCCAACTAAGTACATTAACTTGTTATATACAGATACAAGACTAGTTTTATTTAGTAAGTCACACAGACCATCATTCCATTTCCCATCAGAGATTTTACCTGTAAAAGCAATGCCAGCTGTTGTCGGGCAAATTCTTTGTTCTGAAGGGCACAGCAACCCAAACACAGAACTGCCATATTTCTCACAGCTGGATGGACATTAGTTACGCCAGGCAGTATCTGGAAACAATAATGTTAGACTTTGTAGTTGAAATACATAAATTAAAAATAAGAAACTGACTATTAATAACGTCTTACCCTGAAACTAAAAATAATTTAGTTTGATACAGGATTGGAAAGTGGTAACTACTATATACTCTGCTTATCTAGGCATAAACAAAAGCAGACTGAGTATGCTGTTTGAAATCATCAATAAAATAATGGCAAAAATCGCATAAGTGTTTTGCTTTGTGTTTGTTTTTAATAAATACTTGTTTTCAAACAAAATTGAGTTGACCACTCACTAGGAAAGAAAAAAATCACTAGGTTGTGGGAACGCTTAAAAGCGCCCAACACAGCACTACAGCTACAGCAAAGGGATTGTGAAATAATCACAAACCATCCTGCCAGCACCTAAGGGCCAACTATGATGTACCCATCTTTATAATAATGTAAACAGTATTTATTCCTACATACCAGAGATTCAATGATTTCGTTAATGGTTGGATCAATTCCTTTAGAAAGGGACATGATCTTCAGAAGCTCATAACACATCGTCAGACACTTCAACAGTGTTTCAGGATCATTCTTCAAGTGGGTCAGGGCAAAGAGAAAAACATCATTAATACAAATAGTGGCTGTGATAAGGAGAATGGAGAATTAATAATAATTTTCCCTACTCATAAAAACATTTCCTTTCCACTACACATTTCTTGTGCAAGAATATTAATCAAAATCTGTCTATAAACTATGATGAAAAGAGATTCAGGTTCATATTTTCAGTTACATAAGAGTAAAAGCAGTAAAAACAAGACCCTTTTAGAATGCTTTACTTACTCAAGGACAAAAGAGCAGTTTAACTGCAATTCATTTTTTTGCTAGAGCATACCATCAGCTTCTATACATGCAGAAGAATACAAATACCATAAATGTTCATTTTCAATTTTAAAAATTTAGATGACACAAGGGCAAACTACACTTTCCTTTAAAACTATGAATAAATGTCAAAATATAACCAGCACTTGGGAATACAGGAAGGGGATAAACCTTTTCCACACGCATTTCTTTAATTTCAGGTTGCTCTGCTTCTTTAATCAGATCATTTTTACTGTGTTCCAACTCAATTATTTTCTCTTTTAATACTGATGCTTTATTAAAATCCTGCAAAGTAATGCATTCTTCCAAAGCAGCTTTTGCTTCAAAAAGTTTCACTTTTATTTCAGCCAACTGAAATACAAAGTAAAAAGAAAATTAATATGACATCATAATCTTCATGGTATTAGCCAACAATATGCTATTGACACCAGCCAGTAATAGACCACTATAGAAAACTCTTACTGGATGGATATGCTTCAAAAATATTTTTCTTGTTAACTACAATATGTTTACCTTAAGCTCCTGCTTTCTTATTTCAGCCGCATCAACAGGCTGGTCGACTGTAACAATTGGCTCACGAACTTCCGATATAATTTCTGCAATCTATTGTTACAAACAGTATATTAGTGCCATTAATTTCAGCTCAGATGTCAGATAAGAGCTTAACCTTTCCAAATTTAAAATACCATCCTTCTGAAAAATTATTGAGCATCTCTGCCATTTCCCTTAACAGCTAATTCACTGCAAATAAATCCTCAATTTGACAACAGTCTAACCATGAAAGTCTAGTGTTTTCTACCATTTAGCTAGGTAAGCAAGAAAATAGAATATATCCATGAATAAGTTAAGTAGTTTCTATGCCAACAGTTCACAGGCACCATCTCTTCTAGATCTGGACATATGCTTTGAAAATAATTACTCCTAACGAAAGTAAGGTTTTTCATCCGTTACTACTTCAACCAGATTACAACTAAGAACACTATCATTTAAAGGTCTATAAACCACCATATATCATATAAGAAGCCCCATAAGTAATTTAATTTCAAGACAAATATGTGCATAGAACCAGAAGCAGAACAAAGCTGAGAGTTTTTCAGTTGGTTAGGGGTTTTCTTTGAAGTCAGATCCATTACGTTAATAAAAAATGAGATGAAACATGAAGAAAACTAAAGACTGAATGAGACAGGATAGTCTTAATTTGATTTATCTTGTATCAGATGATCTCAGTTTAACTTTAACTTCCTCTCAAGCTGTACCAAATCAATGAAACCTATTGAATCAGTGTATTTCAACAGAATAACAGCAATGCATACATTCACTATTGTACTATAATGCTAAGATTACCATAGTTCTTCCATCATAATCACTTAACAAACCTATATCCTAGCTTTACCCACTGGATTGAGGTTTTCCAAAAGTCGTCTCTGTCCTTAAGTCCAGGGTTCATTTAAAATATTTGAGCAAAACCAAGTGTCTATTTTTCAGAAGTTTAAATAATTATGCTGTATATAAATACTCCACTATACATATTTTTTTATAAGGTTTTTAGTACCTATCTCAGCTAAAAGGAAACGTACATTACCCTCACTTTGAATGTTTTAGTCAAAATTGTTTGGATCTAATATGACAAGGGATTGTGAAATAAAATAGGCTGTCGAAGTGTAATAGTCTGGGCAACCACAAAACACAGCTATGCTTAAAAAAAAAAAAGTGGGGGAGGATGGGAAGGGAACATAAATGCTTTCCAAACTAAAAATATTTTAACTCCTGGTATTTGTTACAATGCTTTGTAAAGGCTGTTGGATATAAGGGAAGGCAGAGCCTAGAAAACAATGAGCCTTTAGAATTACTTACAATTTGAATTCTTTTGTCATCATCTGTAATGATACTGAGTAATCTTTCCATAAGCGGAGATATAAGGGCTGTTGAAGTTGCAGGTAGTATGAGAATCTTTTGTAAAGTAGCTAACAGATGCTTTCTGCATTAAAGAAAAAAAAATAATCTGTTTGCTTATTCAGGAAAATGGAAGACATATGAGTTAATATTTTACCCACTTTGAGTTAGTGTGATGAAGATTTTATAATACATTATAAGAGAAGCTTGTCTATAGCTATATTAACTCCTGAATATATTTTCTTACTTAGCAATGTTTGTCTTTTCCTGATTTTACCCGATTTCTCTTGATTAGAAAATGCTGAATTCTTTATCAGGTGTCTCTACTTCTAATGAAAGCTCATACCAGCAAAAAAAAGACAGAGTATCAATACTGTACGATGCTTTCATAGAAATTATCTGGCTAGAAACTAGAAAAAAAAATTACAATTTAAACTATCCTGCCAGTCTGTCATACCTATAATGCATTCCACAGAGTTTGAAATTATTGTTGTGTTTATACTATTGTAACTGAAATTTTTCATAAAATGTCTGTGATGGTATGAACTTCCAGATTTACTCACTCTTATTACTTTGCATCAAAAGGCTGTTCAAATTATAGAAATGACTCAGTTAACACAGTCCAACTCAGCTTGGCATCTAAAACATCTGTAACCTTTTAGGCCTTAGCAGTCTGGGCTTAAAAACATAAGAAACACACAGGCTACTCACTACAAGTCATCTGCTGAGAAGTAATCCATTTATCTCCTTTTATTTTTTATATACTACATTCCAAATTAACAGCCTTGCAACTTCATAATCTCAAGAATACGTTATGAAAACAACTGAATTTGTTCTCCCCAAACAATGTTGTATCTGCATTAAAACCCATTTTTCCACAAAAGTAAGCAGGCGATACTTGGCACACTTTTGGGAACAACTGCATTACAGAGATCATACTTTTTTTTTTTCTCCAGCTAGCATTAGAACTGTATTTTGTTTGTTTAATCAGGTTATCTTCCCAACAGAGACTCTATGCCTGTCCACAGGCATGAGTGCCATAAGCTTAATAACACAGATTTTATATTTACATTTACCTTCCTCCCTCTTCCATGGTGTCCATGCAGCCTATGATAAGGATCAGTTGCTGGCCTATAAATTCTTTTGTCATCAGGTTTTCAAAACAAGCAAAGTCTTCTCTTTGTTCCTCACTAAGAATTGGCATATTTTGAAAGTAACTGAATCCAAATAGAACAGACATAATTACATTCAGAATCATTGTTGGAAAGTAAAAAATAGAAAAACCCAAACAAAACAAAACCAAAAAAAAACCCAAACACCTCCCCTAAAAAACAACCCCAAACCCAAACACAAACTCAAACTCTCACCACTTTCCTGTCCTGTATAAACAAACGGTTACCTTAGTTATAAACCTTAAAAATTAGTGCTTGTGTTCTCCTTTTCATAGATTAAGAGTTCCAGAAAGTTATTTATATCAAATAATGACAGTTTAAAAATAATACACTTCATTTAAAAAAAACTGTTTGAGAATGCAAAAACAGTGAAAAACAGAAAATTACAATTTATGCTTGTACATGTGATTTCAGTTCTGTAACTCTACGTTAAGGCAGCATCTTAGGAATAAATGTATACATGTATCATTTTTCATATATAGAACTAGTATTTTTCTGCATATTTAGGTACTATGTATTGCTCTACATGTTCAAAAGTGTTATACTGCCTACATGACAAAATACAAGAAAATCATTAAAGTGTGCAGTGAATTTTAAATTCTTTATCTGATCAAGTATGCCATCATGGAAGAACAATCTGTCATCAGATATACTCAGCCACATAGCATGGAAAGTGTAATCAGTTTGTTCTGTTTCTTTATTTTTGTAGAGTCATTGTTCTTTTATCAAAATTTTACCCATCAATGAGACCATGCATGTTCAGAAAATCTGTGTTGAAACATATCACACAAAATTCAATACTGAATATAATGTAGCATACAAAATTCAAACACTGATGAGAGGTGGAAAAGATGCCTATTTTCACCATAGCTTTGCAGATACTTTTCAGCAACAGCTCATTAAGTTTAGCTGATTTAAAAAATTTCTTCAAAGTTAGAACAAAAACTTTGCGTGTAGCTACTACTTAAGACGACCTAGAACTAGAACAATGTAGGCAGCTGTTTCTGATCATTTGACAATGTGACCTGCACCAGATAACAGTGAAATACCTAAATGAAGCTTACAATCCTGCATTTTTTCCTTAAGTATCAATGACTTCCAGTTTCTTGCTCCTTCTAACTGATCCTCTCACACTGCAAATAAAGATTTGGATTGTACAATTGCAACTCTTACCTGAGACAACTGGTGGCAGAGCTCACCAGTGAAGTTTAACAGTTGATACTACAAACAAGTACTAGCAAACCTAATTAACTTTACTCAGCCTCTTCCTGAAGAAGATGATAATTGAAGGCATTTCAAGTAAGATCAGATGGAAAAAAGAAAATTTTTTTTGGAGAACAAGTGTTTTATGGACTCTTAAATTAATTATCAATGAATAAATTTACACCCACCAGACTGGATCCACAGTTCAAAATTAAGGAAGAACAGACACTCCATTTATTAAATGTTTATGAAACATGTTAGCACATTCCACACAGAAATCACTGCTACTTTTCAATAAGTACTACTAATATACCACACCCACTAAAGTGAGAAAAGAAAATGCATATTTTTAATTGGAAATAGCTATCAAAACAATGCATTTTTCAGCAGATCTGATTTATAATCATTTCGGGAAGTCTCACTCTACATTTTGCAAGTACAATACCTCAGTTAAGATTTCTCAGCGTTCTCCATGCTCACAAACATAAATTCTGTTCAAATTTTAGGTTAAGACTGAAGTATCTCACTGACAAAAAAAATTACCTTTCTTCACTTTGGTAAAAAGATTGACTTAACAAAACATTGTTCTTTTTCCCCCTGATTAAATGTTTTGTAATTAGCTCATTTAGCAGCTCTGTCACTGCCTTGAAACATCAGTTTTTGGGAAGCATGCCTGCCTGAGCAGGGAAAAGAGAAGGGAATGAACTTTCAGTTTCAAAAACACTTCTCTTCGGGATAGCAGCCAAATTTTACTTTATTTTTTACAAATTACAACAATGAAAAAAGCATAGATTTCCAAAAGCTCTAAAAACCTCTTTACGCAAGGCTCTTTGTAAACACATAGCAACCTACATAACAGACGGACAAAGCATAGCTGCACGTTACAGAATAATTATTCTATTCTCTTCAATAGCAAAGAATTACATGCTATTGATCTACCAGTTCATCTTGCTGATAATTCATTAGAAAGAACATTCCAAAAATTGTTTTTTAGTTACAAATTTGCTTTTTACAGTTTTTGTTTGAAAGTAGTAAATCCTCTCAAAAATCTTATAAAAAAAGTTTAAAAAAAAAAATCACTGTTCAAGCACAACTTCGGCTTTAGAGAATACCTGAATAGTTGAATAAAAGAAATACTTTGTACTTTAAAAAAAAAAAGATCTATTTTAATGGTAAGAGATTTATTTTTAAATGCAATGTACCTTAGTAAATAATCTGCATATATAGCAGGTTCTGGTAACATCTGCTCTAGTAAATCTTCACCTTCTTCACCTTTTGATTTCAGATATTCACAAAGACATCTCCAATATAACACATTCTCAGCTGTTAAATCCTCCAGTGGAATCAGTTTTCTAAGCAAAAATAAATAAATAAATACAGAGATATAAATAAAATAGGGTCAAAGACAACAAATGTACCAAAATAGATTATTTCCTAAAATGAAAATAAAATCCTGTCAAGTCTATTCCCACAGAAATACTTAAAGACTGACAAAAAGAGCACCCTGAGCCTCTCACTACACTGCACTTTTCGTATTATAAATCAAGGTTGCTTGTATCAGTTTGCAGAAAGATTCTGCTCAGCCCTTCAGACCTCCTAGAGCAACCACCCAAGCACTTTAACACTATAAAACACTTATCACTGTTCAAGTCTGGAAAACTGAACTCCATTAATCTGTAGTAATGCAACAACTGCATTAAATTATTTTTCAGCTTTTGTTTAAGAATTGTTTCTTCTGTTCTTAATACAAGACCTTAATACAATATCTAAGTAGCAATCATAGCATGTCAAATGCAAAAAATAATAGAATTGCTTCTCAGCATCTCTGTAAGCTCATCCTCTGTTTACCAGTCATAGTACCCCCACTCCTTTTTACAATTATAGTCTTTTCCACGGTAAGCATGGCATGTAATCTTAGTTTTCAGAAGCAGAACATTGAGTTGTGCATTAATCCTACCTCAAAATAGAAAAGACAGTATCACTGTCAGTGGTACTTCTCACTTCCTTGAATTCCCTTTTATTGGTAAACTACCAATAACAATTTTGGTTTTCTTTTAGGTCCCTCATACATACAAAAAAAAAAAAAAAAAACCAGCAACATGTAGATGAAAACTGAAACATTTTACGGCTTCCCATTAATCTGACAAGTCTTTATTTAAAAGTAAATTTAACAAACAGAAATCAGACTTCAAAAATCTAAGCATTTATCATACTGACACTTGCGTCACAACCTGTAGTCAGAAACATCATACAAGAACAAGCCTAATATTTTCCATAAATCAAATAACTTTATTACAAGCTGAATAATTTAAATTACTTCTCAAAATGTTGTCAGTCTAACAGATATACTTCTTAAAAAAATTCCCAGTTAGCCTGAAGAGAAGCCTTGTTTTGTGCAGGATCAAAGTCAAACCGACAAGTCCATAACTATATAAATTTTTCCTCTGAACCTCTTAAGATATTGGCACGTTTCCAAAGGCTGCAAATAAGTTATTTCACCAGTATTGATGCTTTTTAAAGCCAGAGAGGCCCCCATCTATAGCTTTGGAGTGCAATCATGTAGCACCTACTGATTTCAAAACATCTGTCATAAGCTACTACTAATGCAAGACACTTCATATGATATTATACATCTTCCCTCAAAACACGGAGTAAGATTTTATTATCTCTTTTTATTCAGTGACAATTTATTGTTTATCATCTGCAATTAGACTCTTACCACTGTTAATAATCATTCCACTCTGGTTGCCTCAATTAACTCAAGCTGTTTCTTCTTATGCCTTTTTGCCTCCCTTACAGTTTCCTACAACTTTCAGTTTCTTATTTTTCTACTCCCTTCATTTTTGCTTTAGGGATCTTAATATTCATCATGCCATCTTCTTCATAGCTTAGGAACTCACTTAGTCAAATTCTACCAAAATTAACACGGGAAAAGAAGCCTCCAAGATAACAACTTCTGTCAAGCTCTGCTAATAAGTAAAATGCCTCCAAATGAAGGCTGAAACACAATTGGAATGGAATTGTTTGGCATGATTCTTCAAACAGTTCATGGATAACTGAACCAGCCCCAAATTATACTGCTTCTAGCTCAGTAAAAAGGATAGAGGGAAGCCAAAGAGGCCTAGGAAATGTGTGAGAAAGACTAGAAGCATTACTGAGAGGGAGGAGGAACAGTTGAACAGGAGCTTTTCAGTACCACAGGTTAAAGAAGAGAGGAAATTATAGTTGTGGGGGTAAACTAGAGCATTGTCTTTATTGTAAGCTGTATGGACAGCACAGGAAATAAAACAAAGACTAAGTTGTTACTCATAGAAAAGCTTGTTTAGTTGATTAATTCACTGCCTCCTCTTAGAATTTAAGAGTGTGATTTTTGGGGTGTTCAAGAAACAAGTAGTCAATATTATTTTTCATATTTTCCTCTTGCTTATCTAGCACAATCCTTTTCAGATGGTGAACACAGATCTTTTAAAAAGAAAAAAGCATATCCAGAACAAGTAAGAAGACAAACACAAGGGAGACATCATGGTTTACACTACAATATCAGTCTTATCACAGGTAATAGTTACTCTGCTCCCCATTTAGATATAACATTTAATTTAACATTCTTAAATGAAATACTCGTCTTTTGGAAATGACAACTGATGTGCATACCTGCAGTCAAGGTGTTTACAGTTCTGAACAAAGTCATAAAGTGGAGATAATGAAAATATAGCATTTAGTACTAGGATGGCCACTTCTGGGCAGTTTTCCACATCCAGTCGATGAAGGAATTCCAAAACATCCCCTTCGGTCAATCGTAACCAGGCTTGAAGCAGCTTCTTCTTCATTACCTCCTTAACAGCATCTAATAATACAGGAATTTAAACATTTTTAAGACTTTAAAGATCAAAAAATACCAAGTTTTCAACACGCTTTCACAAGCAATTTTTCTATTAAAGGCTTTTTAGAAAGTCAGTATTATATAGTTGAACTTAATATTGCCTTAAAAAAAAAAGAAAAAAACTACAGTTAAACAAGAACTACCTATTGACCATTAATACATTTTTCAGGCAACATATTTTTCCCTCCCCACAAGAGATAAAAAACCCCACCTCTATCCAAAAACTGTTACATCTAAAGACAGCACCTCAATTCAGAAAAATCTACAAGCCATGAACTCTTGTAGAGTAAGGAAATATTCTGAGGGAGCACTGTTATATACTTGCTCTGTTTCAGACATTTAGGAATTAGCAGCTTTTGGAGGCAAGATACTACTGTACAGACATTTAGTCTGAACTACCACACAGAATTCTTGTGTTAATTCAATTATTCAACTGGATTATGAAGTTTACATAAGGATAGTTTAAGTCCCTCCTCCCCATTGCCACAATGAACAAATAGTTTCTGTATCAGTAGAGTACTATTTAATCAAGGAAAAAACTATTTCTGGGAACATCTAGAATACGTACAGCATTAATAATGAAATACACACAGATTTAAGCAGAGAAGTAGAAAGGCCAATAGTCTGGAGGAAGTAAAAACATAACTAGGAAGTGATGCAAGTATACTCTTAGGACCTTTTAGAAAACAATATCCAATACAAGGGAAACAATAATACTGACAGCATTTATCTTTCCTCTTATATATAACTTATGATAAAGACAGCACTTAAATAAAGTCAAGTTCAAAAAGACCTATAAAAAGGCTTTTAAAAGCTAAATTAAGGTCCTAAGAATGAGAAACCTCTCTAAGAAGGTAAAAAGCATAAACTAGCGGAATGTAGTAGAATAAATAAAAGAAAGTGGAGAATTGACAGTCAAATGCACCCTGAGAAGTAGAACTAAGCAGAATCTAGATGGTGTTTTCTAGGCCTTGTTTAATTATAAACCCTTGTTGCGAAGCCAATATGGAAAAACCCAAAACCCCAAAATTTCAACCTAGTAACCTTGAACGAGCAGGTTCCTCTCTTCTTAACTTGGAAGTTACTCCAATAAGCAAATTCTATAAAGATATACATATCTGAGGTTATATAATTTGCAAAACAGTTCAAAATGAGGGAATACTAGTGGATGTATATAAAGACACAATCAATTTGGAACAAACTTCTTTTGCCCAGCAAAGAGCATATGATATTGATGAGATCAATGCAGCTACATACCCTGGCAGATACTTTCTCTTGTGATTCTAGGTGTTAAGAAAAAGAGCAAGTCCTTAATAGCTGGGATGAGGAATCATCCTAAGGAAGAGACAGACACCAACAGAGGAAGTATCTGCTCTAGATCATAAAAGAAGGCAGTTCTTTATGTTGAACACCTCAATGCCACTGAAATACAGGCCATGAAGACAGGCTGTACCTTCTCAGTAAGGGAATACAACAAATCCTTGTTCCTGACAAATGAAGGATCACAGGGAAAAATAGTGAAGGCAGCTTCCTCCTCAGTTTTGGAAGATTACTAAAACAGAAACACATTCACCCTAAGACAAAAGAATTATCTGTTGAGACCACGTACTACCGGGGGTGGGAGGAGGTGTGGCAGCCAGCAGACAAGCGGCAGCTAGTTAGGTCAAACAGCAAACTAGCACACCCATAAGAAACAGTAATTCAGAACATGGTTCTCAGTGCTGTACTGCAAAAACAAAACCTGACAAAATTCATTAGACTACTATAGAATAATTCAGGGTAGGCGGGGAAAAAAGATAATTACAACTTATTATAAAGAAGGACTTCTTTTTAAGTGTAGTTCTATACAGCATTTAGAAAGAACTCAGCTGATCCTCTTACTTTGCTGTGAGGAACATACTAACGTGATCCTCAACTAGCCAAAAAGGAAGGTAGATCAAAAAACAAAAACCCAGCAGATGCATACATGATACAGCTTTAAGAGCTTCGATTACCAATGAACATAGTACTTTTGTCTTTTTCTTTAAGTGAATATCCACATAGGTCATACTTCTTACAGTTCACAAGCAGCACATCACTAAGCAAGGAAAATTCTCCAAGTAAAATTCAACACGGCTTAGTATAGATTCTGCAAACAAAGTATGTGGATAACAGTAGCATTTAGTAATACTGGTGGCTTTTATTGTGAAATTCCTGTATATAATTGTTATTATTGGAAAAAAAGAAAAGCCATGTTCTATGTAGGCAGGCCAAAATTGTCTCACTCAGATGCAGATGACCTTTTGATCTTCTGGCAGCATCACCACACACAATTATGGGTACATGCTGAATGTCTCTTCATATGTAAATGATACAGTACAGAAGACATCAAAAAGAATAAAGCTGCTTCATGATGTAATGAATGAGGGTCAATCAAAAACCCATTACAAAAAATTCAAGCAAATAAAATTAAAGCAAAAAAAATTAAAATAAAAACTAACCAGCTGAGAAGATTTCTCTCTGAATGCACATAGGAAGCATTTTGACACTGTCCCACATGACATCCTCGTCTCCGAATTGGAGAGACGCAGATTTGACGGATGGACCACTCCCTGGATAAGGAATTGGCTCAACGGTCACACTCAGAGTTGCAGTCAACAGCTCAACGTCCAAGGGGAGGCCGGTGACGAGTGGCGTTCCTCAGGGGTTGGTATTGGGGCTGAAGTCGTTTAACATCTTTGTCAGTGACACACAGAGTGGGACTGAGTGCACCCCCAGCAAGTTTGCTGATGACACCAGGCTGTGTGGTGTGGTCAACACACTGGAGGAAAGAAATGCCATTCTGAGAGACCTTTACAGGCTTGAGAGGTGGGCCCATGCAAACCTCTTGAAGTTCAACCAGACCAAGTGCAAGGTCCTGCATGGGTCAGAGCAGGCTCCAGGAGACTTTCTAGCAGCCTTCCAGTATCTAAAGAGGCCTCCAGAGAAAGCTGGAGAGGGACTTTTTACAAGCGCATGGAGTGACAGGACAAGGGACAATGGCTTTAAACTGAAAGAGGGTAGATTTTGGTTAGAGATATGGAAGAAATTCTTCACTGTAAGGGTGGTAAGGCACTGGAACAGGTGGCCCAGAGAGGTTGTGGCTGCCCCATCCCTGGAAGTGTTCAAGGCCAGGCTGGATGAAGCTTTGAGCAACCTGATCAAGGCAAAGTGTCCCTGTCTATGACAAGGAGGTTGAAAATAGATGATCTTTGAGGTCTTCTCTAACCCAAAACATTCTATGCTTTTCAAACAATTATCAAACTGATCTTAATGTTTACATTTCAACTCTTTAATAATTGAAATTTTAATAAAAAATATCTGTAATGAAGTAAATAATTACATTTTTCTACTTCTGTGTTTAATTACGCTGTTGTTTTTTAATTTTAATAGCATTTGGTCTTATTTTAGAGTTCAGTGGCTTTCAAGTTTTTCACAAGTGCAATCCTTTTCTGGTTTGTCCTCTATAAGGGGACCAGAAAACCAAAGCAGCAAGCAGAATTTCTTGTTCTTAAACAATTCCTGGTACCTCATGACTCCCCTTGAGCTCCTTATTATTGCCATCACAGCTTCCACATAAATTATCCCCAAAACATTAGAAAGTATTCTCTCAAACATTTGTATTAAGAAGCTGAGAAAGATGATCTCTTACCAGATCTGTCATTAAGTCCTTGTTGCAACAATTTTACTCTCTGCGCTATTGAAAGAGCTCTCATGTGAACTTTCTCTGCCAAAACCTTAAAAAAAAAGACGACATTAAAATGATAACAACTGAATTCTTTAACTAGCTGTGGGTTTAAACTCTCAGTTTTATCCATCCACAGAAACCCTAAGTCAATAAAAGCCAGTAGCCATTAGCATCACACCAATACATTAACATGCAGATTCTACTGCATGGAATAAGTGTAAATAAAGTAAGGATAAAGTTAACAAATAGCTTAGAAGCTTAGCAGCTCTGCTTGAATGCAACACCTAGATATGAAAACTATTATCTCTTTAAAGCTCCAAGAGCAGTGAATATCTGCAATGAAATTACTAAAGTATGTACTTTTCTTAAAGCCTACTAACACAGAGATTCAATTAAAAACAGAATTTAATCTAAAATAAGAAAGAACAGAAGATGGTTCTGTGTGAAAAACTTGAACATTTTGTTTGAAGATCTTGCCTAAGACGCCTACACAAGAAAATACACATGGTAGCATACCTTCTTGCTGTTACACCTACACATAAACGTAAGTAACAGTTGATACTTCTCAGAACTGGAGTATTGAAAATATGTAATTTTTTTTTACACTAGTATTGCTGTGATATTTACTTAATTATCTATTATGTAATAACAGAGAAAAAAAAGTGCTTCACAAACATCACAAAATGCATAGATGGAAAACAAAAGATTGTATACATAATCTATACTTTTACTGTCCGATTCTGAAGAGCAAAGTTCTATCACAAAAGTAATTTCTGTCAAGCAAGTTCTGCAGTCAATTTCAGGGGTTTTAACTTGAAAACTTGTATTAAATCACTCCCCCTCAAAATTCTGGCAAGTGAAAATTATTTAACTGTTCTTAGTGTTTAACCAGCAAAATATAATAATCTTCACTTATTCACTTATAAAGTGCTTTAAAATTTTTAAAGCATTTTTCCTAAGTCAGATTTTGAAATTAATATTAAGTGATCCAATTTACCTCATATGCCAGCTTCCTGACAGCTTCCTTTACATCCATAGTGCGGCCTACAATTTTTGGCAAAGTCCTTGCTGATGGAGCAATACATGACAGAACTGCACGCCTCACTTCTGAATTTGAATCATTTTCAAGCAAATTGTTGTAAACTGAAAATAAAATAGTCATAATAATGTTTTTATAAGAGTTTGAAACATTATCAAAAAACAGAAAATACTCAAAAATAAAATCAGCAACTGTTATTAAAACCCCTCCCCTGCCCTTGCATAGCTCATACAAATTTAGGGAACAGTTCAAGGTCACAACCCCAAGATTTTACGGCAGTTACATGCTGAGCTATGATCTCAAAAGAAATTCCACTATGAAAACATTTGCAATCATAAGTAGGATCTTCAGTTAATAAGTCTGAAAATTGCTAGTCTAGATCCCACATATAAATAACCACTTTGTCATTTACTGAACAAAAAATAACCACTTCCAAACGTTGGCTTCTTAAGACCTCTGTTCACCGGCTATACATCGTCATTACCTTTAAGGTGGATCTTTAAATTTTCCTATAAATGGAAAACTGCAATCTCCATTAAGCCTACCAACACTCAAATAGTAAATCTCTCATGTAAAGTTTTTTGGTATATTCTTGACCCTACTTCAAAATTAAAACCAACAACAAAGAATTTAATCGGAGAATACTTGAATTATTCTTCTTGCTCTGTGAGGTAATGGTTGACTATGAAATTTATGTACTCATAAATAAGCAACTTCTAAACAAACACTCAGAAAACAAGAAAGTGCCTTAAAACAAAAAAACACACGAGTAACTTACTCAATTCGCAAAAGACAGTATGTAAAGTTTAGTCAGGGCACAATTTACATAACAGCTGTGCTGGTACAAACCTACAGCCCATTTACCATGAGGCAAAGGAAGCAGAAGCTTAGTCAAGAATCATACACTACTCAAAGAAACCCACAAAAAGCACAAAAACAGCATCAAGAAACCTCGGTTCCAGAGGTGCTGATGTCTTAAAGGAAGTGATCCATGAACAAGATGAAATTCGCAAAAAAAACCCCACATCAACCCAAAAATAAAACCCCAAAACTAAAAAACACGATCTCAAAAAAAAGCGTAGGTCAACAATGTCAGTACCTAGCTTGCTTCTCATGGGGGCAAACAGCCATAATTTGAGACAAAAATTATTTTTTCTATTATCATCTCTACTCCTTTAAACATTTTTGTAGGAATTCAATTAACAATACAAAAGGGTCCTTATCAGGCAAGGCCTGAGGAAGCACACACCAGATCTCCACCCCAATTAACAACACACCATTATTCAGCTACATTCAGCTCACAGAATAGGCTGAGCCCAATATTATTTTGGCTGTCATTTAATTCCAGTGGGTGTCTCCTTCAAGCAGTTCTGTCTTTTCTGTTTAACACAACTCCTGTATCTACAATCTCCTCTAGCAAAGAGCTCCACAGTTTATGATTATTACAAGAATACTCTAAGATTTGTTTACTCAATGTTTAAAAATGTTTTAAAAGTAACACAAATCAACAAATGTTAAAGAAAAGAAAAAACTCAATACTACTTACTATTAACAACAGGACAGTTTTCATCCTTAGGATCTTGAAGTCTCGACAGGGCCAAGACAGCTTGAATTCTCACATTCGAAAATTTATCTTTAAGTCTAATCAGCATAGCTTCATTAATTTTATCAAATAATTCATCATCAATCTGGGCATTCTCTGGCATGTTTCCCAAAATCTTATTAACAAGTTGGCATGTTCGAAACCTAACTGCATGGCTGTTCGCATTGTGAGACTTAAAGAAAGAAAAAAAAAGTATTCTTATAATCGCTTTTCTCATTTCTAACACAAGACTAATAATATGCACATGTAAGTAGTTAGTATTCTATCAGTGCATGAAATATGTACTTTTGTATTTCAAAAGCTTTTCCTATTTGTTAATTTTTAATAAGATTAAAAAGTCACAGAACTGGAAAACAATTATGGCCCATCACTTATATCAGTGGCACTTCACATAATTAGCAAAGCCTTCACAAAGGCAGAAACATGCTTACCACTCCAAGCAGGCTACAGTACATCAGCTAACTTACCCCTCCATACATCATTAGAAGAAAAAAAGACATTAGCAATGATGGCTAGTGATCTTGGCTGGATCAATACTTTTTCCATTTCAAAACACTAGTTTAAGAAAATTTAATTCTACTCGTGTTTTCATGCTATTGAAACTGTTGATTTCTTTCTATATAACACTTGCAATGTATGAAAGATCTTTTAGTATTTTTACTTATCAAAGAAACAGTATAAATTCATTTCCACAACACTTTCACAATTTCAAACTTACAAATGCACCGATAGTAAAGCCTATAATGACACATCTAACAGCCAAATAAGAAAACAGTTCATATTTTCTCACTGGTCTAACATTTTAACACAGTTGCTGGGTTATTGAGGGGGTGTGGCTGGTTTTTGGGGGTTGGAGGTGATAGTGTTACTCCTAAAGACTAGCTCTGCCTTGCTTTCACTTTTTAAGTTGTAGTTTGTAGGTATCACCTCGAGTGCCAGCAAGTTTTCCCCACTGCATGAAGTTTCCAATTGTTATGTTAACAATTTAGTAATAAATGTTACTGTACCTCAAGCAGAAAGTTAAACACGTAATTCAGAAGAAAAGTATCATCGTCTCCTGCCTCACTGCCATCCCCTTGCTCCATTTGATAAAACGAAGTAACAAATTTAGCCACAAAATTGATCACTTGTTCCACTGCTGGTTCGCGTCTGTAGATTATCATAGCATACTTGAGAAAATGAATAAATTTTTCATGAAAGTCTTCCTTATCTTCCAACTGGAAAAAAAAAAAAAAACACAAGAGTCAAACCACGACAAAAGATAACTAGCGCTTCATCTTTCAAAAGCGATACCACAGAAAAAAAAATGAATGGTTTTATAATTGACAGTTTCCATTTAAATTGTTAAAGCACTAAAGCCAGCACAGTCAGGGCACACCCGCTGTTGTGCACTCTTCACCGAATACTGTGCTTTAACGCTCCAGCAGGCATATGTCTTGACTGCTGGGCTCCGTTCTGGAGTTTACATTTACCTGCTAACAGGTTTCAGAACGGCAATCGACACTCTCATGCGTTATTACTCTATCACACCCACTTCTCGGGCATCCAGACACCTCCCAGCAACACCATTAATTCCTGCCGTGGGCTGTTCTTACGGCCGTGCTCGCGAGACAACCGTGTACAATAGTTTAGCATGTGGGTTGGTTTTGTTTTTCTGAAGTCGCAAGGCCCTTCTTAGACGCTTCTTTTAGGGGAGACAAAGCCGAGGAGACTTCCTGCCTTCTGAAGGAAAAGCCGAGCAGCTCCTGAGCGCCCTCGTTTTCCCCTCAGCCGGGCGGGTCACCGCTGCTCCCAGCCGCTGGCACGCCCCGAGGACGTCCGTACCTGATTGTAGGTGCTCTTCAAAGCCACGACAAGTTTCGCCTGGTTCTGGTGAGGCTTCTGCGCCAGCTGAAAGGCCTCCTTGATTTGTAGAAGCTTCTTTTTCGCTCCCATGGCTGCGGAGAAAGGCGACGCTCACGTCCAGACTCCTCAGCTCCGGCCTCGCGTAGCGCAGAGCCGCGCCGGGGAGGCAGGCACAGCACCCTGCAGCGGCAAGGCCGCTCCGAAAGGCTGAAGGAGCG